TATTTTTTCTATTCTATCTACTTGTTTTTCTTTGTGTGTGTGTGTGTGTGTGTGTGTGTGTGTGTGTGCGTGCGTGTATCTCTCTCTCCGTGTGTGTGTGTGTGTGTGTGTTAGTGTCTCTCTGTCGGTGGCGGTCAGACGGACGGGTCGCAGCATGGCTGTATGTTCCCATCGCTCTCAGCAGACTGTCTGCGGCGGCGGCGCGTCTCGGCTTCGGCTTCCATCACGCTCGGAGAGACGCGGCCGTTCTCAGCCTGTGGCTCGGACCGGGAGAGGACAGACTGCCTGCGTTCGCCACACATCAAGTAGGAGTCGCTGGTGAGCGCAGAATGAGTTCTGTTCTGAATCCGCGGTTCTCTGTTTGACCAGCAGGCGGCGCCGCTCCTCCGGAGCACCGGACAGACATGTTTGAACATGCCCGGAAAGATGCTCGGGCAACGGCATGAGCTCAGTCTGGCAGCCGCTGCGCGACGCGTGCTTGTGTTTGATTAAAGCCGAATTCCGTGAAACTGAAATCCCGCGTCTGGAATATTCTAGCAGTGAATAATCCGACCGCATTTCCTTTCTGTACGACTTCCAAACCAACATCCTCTGTGTGTTTTTATTTAGACCGTAGGTGGGGTAATTGTTAAACATTTATGGGAAAATTTTCACAGTAATAACAGCTTAAAGTTTTTTGTAGAGTATCATATTTGATCCATCAGGCTTTTATGGCTGATATAGTCTGATAGAGTGAGAATATGGAGGAAAAACAACTCAGTTTTATTGCAGATGCTGGTATTTATATGATTAAGTTCTGCTGCGATCTTTATAACAGTAGAGCAGAGATACTGACATAAAAATGATCTAAATATCAGTGGTCGCTCTATATCTGCAGTAATCTGTCTCAGTAAGATGAGATTGAAATGCTCCAAACATATAATGCAGTGATTGAGAGATGAAGAAATAAAGGCTCCTCAGAAGATGTGAGATGTTCTGGAGGCTTGTGAAGATCATTCCTCCGCTGAGGAACAGTGAAAGTAAAGCTTCTGGAAACAAACGCTCCTCAAAAGATCCTGAGGATCAGATTTGAGACGCACTGATATATAACGCTTTGAATATTAGCTTTTATCAGGGTTTAATAAAGTTAACAGCTGGTCTGTATCAGTGGTTTGAAGTGGCTCATGAATGTGTGTGTGTGTGTGTGTGTGTGTGAGACCACAGGAGGGGGAAGTTGAATTCTGGAGTGGATAATATAAAACCACACACACACACACACACACACACACACACACACACACACACACACAGTCCTACTACACAGACATTCCCTCTCAGTTATTCACGTCTGTTCTTTTTCTCATTGATTCTGTATAATCATGAATTATTGGTGTCTTGTTTAAAGGTGCTGTTGTGGACGAATCCAACGGCAAAGTACTTGTTGTTCAGGACAGAAATAAGGTACAGAATCAATCTGCCGTCTCTGATGTGTCTAATATAAGGCTCTGTGCTGCTTAAAAACCCCAAATTATTTTTGTTTCAGGTAAACAGTTTCATCCCTCTAATTTTGGGCGGCATGTAGACAAACATGCAGTCAAAGCCACACTGTTGTACCTGCGGGCCTCGGTCCGCTGACCTTCCTCTGCTGCTGATGGTCATCTGGAGTAAAGAGAGCGCATTTGCCCATTTCAGCCATATAAGAAAAATAAAAAAAATCATGTTTCGGTGAAAAGTTGAAATCATGAATTTAAATGTTATGACAAAGTTATAATTATGAGTTAAAAAGTCCACATTATGGCAAAAAGTGGCATATATATGGCATAGTTATGAAATAAAGTCAGAATTATGAGATAAAAAGTCACTATTATGACATACTGAATCATAATTATGAGATAAAGTCAAAATTCTGGCATAAAAAAGTCAATTATGAGATAAATCGAAATTATGACATACTAAGTCGAAACAGTCAAAATTGTCAATTATGAGATAAAAAGTTGAAAATGACAGTGAAACTGACATACTATATCATAATTATTCAATTATGAGATAAAGTAACAATTATGACATACTAAATCATAATTATGAGATTAGAAAGTCTAAATTATGACATACTAAATCGAAATTGACATTCAAAATTATGCGATAAAAAAGCATAATGTCATAATTTCAACTTGGTTTGTTATAATTGTGACTTTTGAAGTCTAATTACAACTTTTAATTTCATAATAATACTTACCCAAGCATGTTTTTTTTGTCCTGCGTGGTGGAAGCGTGCTTCCATGCATTACTGAACCCTGTAAGTGTGCCATTTACTAACTCCCGTTCAACTCCGTGTGTTAAAGGGACAGTCCACCCAAAAACCATCATTCTGTCATCATTTACACACCTGCAAAACTCACCGTTCTGACATCGAAGCACATTATATATAATGTGGTGCATATATATATATATATATATATATATAAAAAAGAGCAGCATGAACATTCTGCTAAACCTCTCATTTTCTGTTTCATGGACGAAAGAATATAAAAGAGGGTCATAACAACAGACGTTTAAAGTAAATGATGACAGACATTTCTAAATCCTGTAAATCTGAACTGAGACTGCGATTGAACGGCTCTTCGAGCGATAATGAATTCTGTGTGTAACCTTGTTAAACGTCAACCCTCGAGCGTTTCCCAGTTAAATAAACAGCTGGGTTGTGCTCGGGGCAGCGCACGTGGCAGGCGGCTCTCTGCTCTGGAATGGAAACTCAAAGGATTGTTTTATCCACCCGCCAACATCTTTCCTCCGCTTTTATCTTGCGTCACGGCCCGTTTCAGTCGTCATTTACTGGTAAAATGGCCTGAGTGTTCAGGTTTAAAATATCTCTGGGAGTATCAGAGGTCATCGAGTTATTTATCTTCATGGAGCAGATTGCATCTGGGCGCACCAAATGTGTTAATAAAATTCAGTTGACATGGGGATGTTTCTCTAGTTTCGAAATGATTAAAACCCCTGCAAAGCATTTCATCTTTCACCAGTGGAAAAACAATGACACATCGCTATGTGCTCTGATGCAATGAGATGAACTCACCGGCTCCGTCCCAAACCCTAGTGAGCTGCCTCACTGTCTACATAGACAGCATCCTGACTGATTTGGGCAGCAACTCATGTGAACCAATCTCAACGTTCTTAAGCTACCAACTAATTCTCTAATAATAAGCACAAAAATGTAAACGGCGCTATTAGGAGAAATTATAATTTAAAGGAACAGTTCACCCAAAAATAAAAATTAGCTCACCCTCGGGCCATCCAAGATTAGGATGAGTTTGTTTCTTCATCAGATTTGGAGGAATGTAGCATTGCATCAGTGTCTCACTAAAGTGAATGGGTGCAGTCAGAACGAGAGCTTATAAAAACATCAGCACAAGTAATCCACAGCACTCCAGTCCATCAGTGAACATCTGGAGAAGACAAAAGCTGAAACAAATCCTGATGTTTTTATCAGCGCTCGTTCTGACGGCACCCATTCACTGCAGAGCATCCATTGCTGAGACACTGATGCAATGCTGCATTTCGAGTCGAGGGAGAATCGGATCCAAATGCAGATGAAGTTTATCAAAACAACAAAATCATAAAGAGCTTAAACCCAGGAACCAAGAACATCCGTGAAGAATAAAGCTGAGCGCACCAACAATAGACAAACTCTGACAAAGAACGGTGAAAACACAAGGGCTTAAAGACACACAGGCTAAGAGACTAACGAGAAACAGATGATAACAATCAGGAGTTAACAAGAGGAACATGAAAGTCTACAAGAACTACAAATCACTTTAACACGTCCTGTTTACCTTTAGTTCTTCTACTGCTAATTTATTTTTAAAAAGCAAATCTATTTATATGCAAGCTATGATGAGCTATTAATTTAGTGTTTAGAAAACAGTTAATTACATGCATAAAATATTTTCATTGTTTTTCAATTTGTTTTTCATTTGCAATGCAGCTACTTGTGTGAAATACTTCATATTAATGATAGAATTCAAATACTTTCAAACATAATTGCCCACAAAAATATTGATTTTTATTGATAGTACAGAAAGATTCTCACATCACAAACCTTTAAAGCTGTTGCATTACATTGTGTTTTTTTTTAATTGACCAAAAACCACTCAAGTAAGAATCAAAGTTTCATTTATAACTAGCAGCCGTTTCTATATTCTTTTAAAACTCAATATGGAAATACTGTGTAATGGACCTTAGTAGCCACATCTCAAATCTAAAACCTATAAGAGAACATGTTTATGAAAATATCTGATATTGTACTGATAGATATAAATAATATTTAGATCATCTGTGAACGTGGAACAAAAACGATAAAATAGCAGAAAGATAAAATGACTAATTTTCATAAAAATATATTTCTAAGTGTACAGCTAAAATAACATGCACGTGTTAAACATGACTTTCTTTCCTTCTCAGACGAAGAATGCTTGGAAGTTTCCCGGTGGTCTGTCAGATCTTGGAGAAAACATCGGTAAGATTCGGATTCAGATCCAGAACTGATGTTAAATTGAATCAAAACTAATTTAAGCACAACAGAATGTTCTTCTACACAAAGTAAAGCTACTCCAAAAGTGCATTTATAAGAACATCATCTAAGATTTGAGACCCTCAGAACATTCAGTTACAAAAATACCCTTCTTTAATACAAATAAAACACTATTTATTGTCGACTTGTATATAAACTAGATTTGCATTGACTTACTAAATGACAAACATCGATTACATCCTTATATAAGTCACAATGCTCTTTCTGAAAAAATTATGTTTTGTATAAAAGTTCAGTAAGTTACATTGTGTTCACAAGTGTACAACAAAAGATTTCATTCAGGACTTTTTGTGAAGTTTTATCCTACTCTACGTTTCTCTAAATCTCATTTAAGATACAATAAACAAAGTTATTAGTCAAACTGATTGTGTGAAAATATTTAAAAGAATAGTTCACCCGAAAAGTAAAATTAGATAAAAATGTACTCAGATCCAAGATGAGTTTGTTTCTTCATCAGATTTGTAGAAATGTAGCATTGCATCAGTGTCTCACTGAAGTGAATGGGTGCCGTCAGTAATCGGCAATCCAGTAATCCACAAGTAATCCACAGCACTCCAGTCCATCAGTTAACATCTGGAGAAGACAAAAGCTGAAACAAATCCAGCATTAAGACGCTTTTAACTGCAAACCGTTGCTTCCGGCTAAAATATTTGATCTGTGCAGATTTCTCTCCTGATTCAGACCAGATCACTTTTTCACTGGAGGAAGTATGATTATGGATTATGGACTCATATTTTAGTTAAAAACATCTTAATGATGGATGTGTTTCAGTTTTTGTCTTCTCCAGATGTTCACTGATGGACTGGAGTGCTGTGGATTACTTGTGGATTATTGTGATGTTTTTATCAGCTGTTTGGACTCTCATTCTGACGGCACCCATTCACTGCAGAGCATCCATTGCTGAGACACTGATGCAATGCTACATTTCTCCAAATCTGATGAAGAAACAAACTCATCCTGATCTCGGATGACCTGAGAGTGAGCACATTTTCAGCTAATTTTCATTTTTGGGTGAACTGTTGCTTTAAAGTCTAATGTGAATTTAAACCAAGTAAGTTCCTGATGCTGTGAAGTTTTGACAGCATTTGTGACCCTGGAGCACAAAAGCAGTGTTAAGTCGCTGGGGTATATTTGTAGCAATAGCCAACAATACATTGTATGGGTCAAAATGATAGATTTTTCTTTTATGCCAAAAATCATTAAGATATTAAGTAAAGATCATGTTCCTTGAAGATATTTAGTAAATCTCCTACCGTAAATATATCAAAACATAATTTTTGATTAGTAACATGCATTGCTAAGAACTTCATTTGGACAAATTTAAAGATGATTTTTTTGCACCCTCAGATTCCAGATTTTCAAATAGTTGTATCTCGACCAAATATTGTCCTATCCTAACAAACCATACATCAATGGAAAGCTTATTTATTCAGATGATGCATAAATCTGAATTTTGAAAAATTGACCCTTATGACTGGTTTTGTGCTCCAGGGTCACATTTACCAGCAGCTCAGATGCTAGAATGTCTTTAAGACTGAATAGAGTTTCTCTATTCTAACTGGATGCTGTATTTCAGACGAGACGGCCATCCGGGAGGTTTTTGAAGAAACCGGAGTCCGATCCCAGTTCCGATCTCTCCTCAGTATCCGTCAGCAGCACAAGCTCCCGGGAGCGTTCGGGATGTCCGACATGTACCTGATCTGCAGACTCAGCCCGCTCTCCCACCATATCAACCTCTGCACTCAAGAGTGTCTGTGCTGCGAATGGCTCGATCTGTCTGAACTCGCCGAGACCAGCGAGACCACGCCGATCACGAGCCGCATCGCCACACTTCTGCTGTACGGACTGAACAACGGTTTCCACAACATCGACCTCACAATGAAGCAGCTGCCGGCCGTATATTGCGGCTCGTTCTATCAGCTGTACCACAGACGACTGCCAGAGGTGTAGAGACGTTATAGAGCAGCACTACACTGCACTAAATCATGTGTTTTGTTTTCTAGTACAAATATCTAAACCTTCCTAAATCAAGATACATTTACTGGAGAAAAAAATGACTTGTTTTCTAAAAAAATGTATCAAATTAAAGTGAGTTTATGCGTAAAACAAGAACAAATATCTGCCAATGGCATCAGAAAAATAAACATATTTCAAAAGGAAAACAATATTTGCATATATTTTTTTAAGCATGAACTCACTTAATTTTGACATTTTTCAGAAAACAAAACTTTATATCTTTAAGTCATTTTGCATCTCCAGTAAATGTGTCCCGATTTTAAAAAATTAAATAAAATAGATATTTGTACTTGGAAATAAGACAAAAACAACAATTTTTTGCAGTGCACTCTTAAAAATAAACAACTGAAAACGGTTTGGATTTCATGAAGACTGTTTCATATCTTAGAAATATTTGGGTCTTATTTTACACCAAAGTCTAAATGTTTTGAATAATGAAAATGAAGCCTATTTTTACATTTCTCAGTTAATAACTCTGCCGTGCAAAAATACCTTATATAATAAAAAACAATTACATACAGTATTATTTATATTATAAAGTACTTTTGTGAAATAAATATCAAGAGAGTATTTGGGTTACACTTTATTTTAAGGTGTCCTTGTTACAGTGTAATTATACATTTAAGTGCTGAGTAATCTTAATTAGCTACATGTACTTACTATATGGTTAGGGTTACTTGCATGTAATTATGCATAATTACATGCAAGTAACCCTAACCATATAGTAAGTACATGTAGCTAATTAAGATTACTCAGCACTTAAATGTATAATTACACTGTAACAAGGACACCTTAAAATAAAGTGTTACCAGTATTTGTAGAGTTTGTAATAGATTTCTCAGTAATGGCACCAAGAAGAAAATCCTGGCTCTAAAAATACTTAATTTTCTTTATTTTACACATAATTTCTTCATGAGATTCACACCAGAATTTTGTATCTCTTAGTGCTATAACGAATGGAGTGTTTTTAAAAGCTGATTAAATGGCAAAACGGTTCTTGATCAAGTTTCTTTGTTCCTCTGAAGAGCCTTTATTTTCAAGAGCGTGCTGCAGATGGACCAGTTTTAGTTTCTGAACTCTATAATACGTTACCTCGCCTAATCTGCCTGGAGGTTTTAGAGTTTTTAATCAAGTTTTTAATCATCTGATTTCTCAGTTACCTCAACAAAAAGATAAACTGTTACTGTTAATCTTACTGTTACTCACAGCAACAATGTAACTAAATAGAAACTATGTTTTTAGCCAAGATGATATATATATATATATATATATATACATAAAAAAGAGAATAAAGTTTTTGACATTCATGATGTACTTCATCAAAGTGAAACTTTGTGTTTGCAAAACCCTTTCTTTCTCTAAAATACAGTATAGAAATACTTGCGAGCCTTTTGCATAAAGGAGCAGCATTAAAGTAAACTCACATTTTGTAGCCGTACTAAAAACACTCCTGCGAGAAATGCAGTCACGAATTCACGAGCGTATAGTGCAGATCAGTGAACTCTCCGAACCAACCCGAGGGAATCGAGTGGAATAAGAGAGTATTTCGGAAAGTTGGATCTGAGATCATATCGGTGGGATTTGGGGCCAGAATTGACGAAAGCGCCGAGTCTCTCTTCTGCGGATATTGCTGATATTTCCAGGGTGACCGAACACGAACAAATAAACCTGTAATGCTCTCCAAGAACATCTGTTTGGGAAGCGTTCCTAGATAGAAATGCTGAAGGGAAGTGTTTTTTCCCTCCATCACTTATCCGGATGAGCTAATCGTCGGTTAGAAGCGCGTCTGCGTCAGGGGTCTGTCGTCTCGCTCTGTGTTTGACCGCATCTCTCCATCAGCACTTGGCTGACATGGGCAGAAACAGAATGGCCTTCTGGCCCGGGCTGGTCTTCGAACCCGCTTTATACTGGCCTGTTCTCTTCAGAGCCACGTACCAGTCGGGATACTTCCGGGATCGGTACGTGTTGTAGTTATTCGACTCCAGGCGCTCCAGAAAATAACATTCATCTGTTGTTCTCCTCTGAGAGAGAGACAGAGAGAATGACGACATTAACACACACCACTGTCGCATAATTTTAAGCATTAAATACCATTTACCATCAAAAATATATAATCAGCTGAAGAAGTTGAAAAAGTTCAATTGGAAGACGACAACATTAACACATCATTGTAACTCAAATTGGCCTCTCTTTAGCATTTTAAGCATTAAACACCTTTTTGTTTCCACTAGAAAATATATAGTCAGCATAATGATTAGTAAAAGTTAAAATGTCTTGACGTTTGAAAGTTTAATTGTTGTCGTTAGTGATGAACAGTGTTGGGGAAAGTTATTTTTTAGAAGTAATGCACTAAGATATTGCATTACTCCATGAAAAAGTTACTTTTACAGTTACTTTTTATGGAAAGTAATGCGTTACGTTACTTTCACGTTACTTTTTGTCAGCTGGGCTGGGCTTGATTATTTGTTTGTTAATAACAAAAAACCCAAAAGTTATACAGTAGTCAGTCAACGTTTGAAGTGGATCAAAACCTTTCATCAAAGTTGTCCTAAAACCAAAACAACACCCGCTCTTGTCTTAGGACAACTTTTTTGATCCACTTCAAATGTTGACTACTGTATTTTTTGGCGACTGTAAGGGCCCTTTCACACCAAAAGTGAAATGAATAATCCTCATGCTGAAGAAAGTGCCTCTGTTTTCTCAGATTTCTCTGTGTGAGTGAGTGAATAAATGGGAAAACAAAGTAACTTGTTTGAAAAAGTAACTCGGATATTTCATTGTAAATTTAAAAGTAATGCGATACTTTACTAGTTACTTGAAAAAGTAATCTGATTACGTAACTCGCGTTACTTGTAATCCCCAACAATGATGAAGGCCTCTCATTAACACAGCTCAAATTGTGCATTTACTTCTGTTTTGCAATTTTACCATTGATAAATAAAGCAATAAGCCCCGTGAAGCCATGGTTTACAGTGAATTTATAACAGCTAAGGGGCGTTGTTAGGTACGACGCGAAGCGGAGCTGTTATAAATTCACTGTAAACCACGGCTTTACGGGGATTATTGCGTTTATAAAACGGTTATTCCATATACGTAGTAAGGTTTCACAAAATAAAACAGCAAATAAAGTGTAATGATATTAATAAAAACAGTATTCTTCCACCAAACAATGTAGTTCCTCAGAAACAGTTGTGGTTGCTACAAAGTGGTTGCCAAGCAACACACAGAAGTAAACAAAGGTGTATGTTACTTTGTAATTTACAACAGCTTCGAACGCAGCTCAGCCAATCAGAATCAAGCACCGGAACTCTCCGGTTTATAATACACAATTTGTCACTGTAAATGTATTCTATTTATATAAAATATATAATCAGCATAACGATTGATTAAAGTTAAAGTTTTGAAGTTCGAAAAATTGAACTGAGAGACCTTCATCACTAACGGCAAAATAAAGACAAGTCATTGTAGCTTAAATTGTACATTTATCTAATTAAATATCTCAGTTTTTCACTGCAAAATATATCATAAGCAACAACTGGAAAAAGTTAAAACGTTTTAAAGTTTAATTGTCATTAGTGATGAGAGTGTTTCAGTAATGCACATCATTGTAGCTCAAACTGTACATTAACTTCTGTTTTGCACTTTTAGCACAAAACATATAATCAGCTTAACAACAGGTAAAAGTTACGTTTTGAAGTTTGAAAAGTTTAATTAACGACAACATTAACACACATCATTGTAGCTCAAATGCATACATTTACATATACATGATACATTTATTCTGTTTTGCATTTTTAGCATTAAATATATTTTTGTCACTATAAAATATACAATCAGCGTAACAACTGGTAAACGTTTGAAAAGTTCAATTGAAAAATGCATGTTCCTCAGTATGTGTGTGCTTTGATAGCAGCAGCTACGTGAACTAAACCCAGTGATCATGTTCTCCAGCATGATTTGATCCTAAAACTGTGTCCGTTTCCAGTTTTTCAATGTGTTTTAAGATTTCCGGATCCCTTTGCGCTCAAACCTCAGCTGTTTTCTTCCATCGAGTCTTATTTCAGCTACAGCAGTAAAACTGTGCTGGAATATTAGCATTTGTCATCTATTATCTGCAGCAGCTTGCGAAACACTGCCGTTTATTAGGGGAATATTCTCTCTTTTCCTGAGCAGCTTGAGAAACGTCTGGAAAACGTCTCCTGACAGGAATGTGAGATGGTCAACCCAGCGCTTCAGGCCACTGTGGCTGTTTTATGTGACCTTTGTAATGTTGACATGCTGCTCACGTTAAAGCCAACACTATCTCACGTGTTTCAGATTAAAACAGGATCTTAAACGAGAATAAATGTGTCTCTACACTCTTAAAAATAATTCCCATTGAGAGAATGAACCTTTAACATCCATGGAACCTTGCCAAGGTTCTTTACAGTGTAAAAAGGTTCTTTAGATTATTAAAATGTTCTTCACGCTTAAAAAAAAAAAAAAGTTCTTTTAAGAATTGATCACTGGAAGGTTCTTTGAGGAACCAAATTATTCTTAATTAGTATTTTTGTCCTCTTTTCCAGTGCAAATATTCAAACATTCTTGAGCCTCTGGTGCTCTTCGGTCATTTTTAAGTTAAAAAGTTTACACTGTGGTTTTTTATCATTTTTTTATTCATCAGAACAGTATGAAACTTATTAAAGGTTTTGGCACTTGCCACGCAAACACAAAAAAATCATGGACATTCGAAAAGGTTAATTGGTCCTAAAACAATAATCACACTTACACTCCTCGTGGTGAAAAGTGACTGCACTGGAAATGAGTGAGAAGCGAATATTATCTAGTGGAAACGTTTGGTACTGCGCGCAAACAAAATCTTATTTTTTGTGATATCAACCTCAAATTTGGAACACAACTTGTTTAGATCAATTCCTTTGATTTTCCTGAAGTAGAGTAAAACATTTTTTTTTTGGAAAATGAAAATTTTTTTTCACATAAAATTTTAAAATAGTATTTTTGTGCATTTTTCTTTTTTTTAATTAATTTTTTTTATGCACATTTTATGTTTTTCACTGCAGCAATGATCTGCCGAGTGTCTTCTTTAAAAAGTATTCAATCTAAAAAAATAAAATAAAATAAAAAACTTTTTTTGTTCTCCAGAGCATTTAAGATGAAAATTTAATTTTCAGATCTATGCTCAAAAAGTGCAGGTAAAAAAATAAAGGATTATAACTACTGCATAAATATAATTTAATACCATAAAGTCCTGTAAAAATACAAAATATTAAATTAAAACTAAAATATAGTACGTTCACCTCATTAAAGTAAAAAAAGGTCATTTTTGACCACCACAAGATGAGCACCAAAGGGTCAAGATACATTTACTTGAGAAACAAAATGACTTAGAAAGTGCATTTATGCTTTATAAAAACAAACATACCTGCCAATGGGTTCAGAAAAATCCAAAGGGAAAACACGATTATTTTTCTGACCTCACTGGCAGATATTTGTTCTTGTTTTAAGCACAAACTCACTTCATTTTGATATTTTTCTCAGAACACAAGACTTAATATCTTAAATCGTTTAGCTTCTTTAGTAAATGTATCTTGATTTAAGAATGTTTGGATATTTGTACTGGAAAACAAGACAGAAATACTAATTTCTGTAGTGCAAAAATGGTTCAGCACTGCTGCCAAAACAGCCTTTTGAAACCTTTATTTCTATATACGAAGGTGGTTGTTGGCGTCAGATGAAACATCGAGACTTTAAAAGCTTTAGTTCAGTTTCATTCTAGAGCCAACGCTGATGTTTCCTCTTGTGAGTTTTGAACAAGGAGCGCTGGCTGTTCACTGACTGTTGTGCAACACCTCCGTCATCAATGTAAGCATTGTTTCAGGAGCACAGAGACTCTCACAGCTCTAATCAACTCTGAGTCTGTGTCTATTTAACCAGATTCTGGGGTCAAACTTGTGAACTAAAATAAAAACAACATGTCTATGAAATGCCCCCATTCAGATTTACTTAAGTGTGTGTGTGTGTGTGTGTGTGTGTGTGTGTGTGTGT